GGGGGGGGGGGGGGTCAGGGGAACCTCTGCTTCCATATCTTCCCAGGTGGGACCTCTCAGGCAATGCACTGGCACTGGCAGTGGTGGTGGAGATGTCTCTGCAGGACCTGGTCTCTCTCCTTGGTATGGCCTTCTTCAATGTCCAGGCGAGCTCCCTGAGTCCTGTGCACCCCCTGTCTGGGGGCTGCCTGCTGTGTACCCACATATGTCTGGGGCCCATATTCCACATGTCCTCTCTTTTCGCTGCCCCACATGCTCAGTCCAGTGACAGGCATCACGCAATGCCTCTTCATGCCCCCCATGCTCTGCCCCACATCACACCTGTGCCCTGCATGCCCCAGGTACACCCCACGTGTCCCAGAGGGAAACGTTTACTTGCTCGGCGCTGCTGGTCACCAGGCCCTGCTGCAGCCTGAAGGCCTGCTCCTGAGGGCACGTCTGGGAGTGGTTGTTCCTCACCAAGCACCATTGGATCTGGAGGGGGTGGGATCGATGAGGTCAGGGCCTGGGGATGTGGGCTGTCCCCTGCCCCCTGCTGTCCCACCCTGCTTGGGACAGCACCCTCCACCTTGTGCCAGACGTCCTCAGTGCGCTCGGGGGCGCTGCGGTAGGCTTGAGAGATGTCGCTCACGGGGAAGGACATGAAGCGCAGCGTGTGGTTGCTGTGGGACATAGTGGCACAGCTGGATGGGGGAGCAGGTGAGGAGGGGAGGCCCTGCCTCTGTCGGTCAGCAACACCCACTCCTGGCTCATCACTTCCCTCCTTCATGGTCCTCCCTAACATTTCTGTGCAAACAGGTCGAGGGGCTTGGGGTTGGGCTAGAGTAGTTTAGGACTGATCCAGCCAGGCACAGGGAGACTGGGGCCTTGGAGCAGGGCAGGGGCAGGGTCCACTCACCTCTCCAGGGCCCTTGCGATGTCAAGGAAGCCCAGGGCAGATGTATTGTTCCGGTCCCATAGGATAGTTCTGGAGGGAGGGCAAGCGCTGATTTGTCATCCCTCCCTCGAGGTCCCTATTAGGGGCCAGAGTCACAACCCTCTCTGAAGCCCGCCCCACTTTTCTGAACAATGAGGCTCACTCAGAGATGGTTCTGGGGCCGGGGGTCTTCTGGGAGCTGGGTACAGAGCATTGAGGCAAACAGGGAGAATGTGTGGGAGTGGGTGGGGGTAGGGTTCCGGGTCAGAAGGTCCAGGCGAGAGCCCCACCTGAGGGAAGAGTTTATCTGCAGGGCCTTAGACAGCATCTTGGCCCCAATGTCCTCCATGCCATTGCCGCTCAGATCCACCTTGGCCAGGCAGGTGTTGCTGCCCAGGGCATTGATGAGGATGCTGGTGCGAAGCTTCAGCCGGGAGTCTGCCACCGACAGGGACTGCAGGGACTGTGTGGGCAAGCCAGGGGTTGGGTGGGACCAGTCCCCACAGTCCCCTGCCACTGCAGGTCCCCTTTCAGGCCCAGGCACTCACACAGTCCTCTTCCTGGATAAGTTGTACCAGTTTGTGAAGGATCTCCTCCAGGGTCCTGTGGGAAGTTGGAGCTCAGACCAGGAGGAGAGGAGGCTGGGGCCGTGATATTGGAGGAGAGAGATGACCATGGGGAATGGTGGGTGCATAATGGGATGAGGGTCTGTGGACATGGAAAGGGGCCTTACTTGGCCTTGACATTGAAGTTCTTGCCCAGGAACAGGTGCTTGAGGGACTTGTTCTTGCCAAGTGCCGGCACCAGTGTCAGGAGGTCCGAGTCAAACCCTAGTCAGTAGAAGGGAGAGGCCTCTCCTTGAAGCCTGAGGTTGGCTGGTGTCTCCTGAGACCTTCTTGCACACTCCAGGCCCCTGTTCCCTCGTGGCCCCCCAGGGAAGGGGGCACCCTCTACTCACCGTTGTCTGACAGATCCAGGCTGCCCACACAGGTGACGGTCCCCAGCTGCTCCTGCAAAGCCTGGGCTCCTGCTGAGCGGAGCTGCAGGGACAAGGTAGGGTGGGGAAGGCAGAGGGTTGGGGGGGGACAGGGTACCTTTAGCGTGTAGAGACCAGGGCAGTCATGCGAGGTCTCAAGGTCATACCAGGACCTGGATGTAAAATCAGGGAGCCCTTTCTCCACACCGATCTGTCTCCAGGGCTCTCTCCCCAGCCTTCAGCCAAAAAGGCTGCTATTCCTAAGACAACTCGCTCCTGCCCTCTGGTGGGCAAGTCTGGCATCTCCCATCCCAAAGCTTTAAGGGTGGAGATACTGGAGACTGAAAGTGAAGGCCTCTGGGAAGAGGGGCACAGGTCTCAGGTTGAGAGGGAAAGTGAACACGTGGTCAGGTCAGGGTGTCGCAGAGGCGTGGCACAGAGGCAAGATGGAGCAGGGCTTGAGTCAGGAATGGGTAGGAGACAGGCAGACGGGTTGGAGGACTGGAGGCTCACCTCACAGCTGCTGAGATCCAGGTGCAGATCGCTGAGGTGACTGTTGAGGGAGAGGCCTTGAAGCAGCGCCCTGTGAGAGGAAGGTCGGTAGGCTCACCTTTACCCCTCCCCTGCTCCCCCGTGGTTCCCTTGGACGCCCCCCTCAACCCTGCACCCACCCGACCTGAGGGCCTCCAGGGGCAGCTTCGTGGTTGACAGGTTGACGTGGCTCAGTGTATAGGCGCTGCTGAAGAACTGCTTGAAGGCCGGTGGGGCCTCCCGCCCCTTCCTGTGGAGACCCCTGGGGTCATCAGGAGAAAGGGACGGCCAAGGCTTGTCCCATCCCTGCCTGCATCCCCTCCTGCTCCCACCTGTGGGAGCAGCTGTTGCGAGCCAGGTTGAGGTAGGTAAGGTGGGAGCAGCAGCCGTGGAGCAGGGCACCCAGAAGCTGTGGGGAGAGACGTGGTGGTGTCGGAAGGGCGGAAGGGCGTGGAGGGGCAAGGACGGGCTCTTCACTCTCTGTGGTCAGTGTGTGTGAACCCCACTGTGGCTGTCCTTCCTAAAGCCTCAACTTTCCCATTTGTGGAAAGCGGGTCTACTCTCTGTCCGGCTTCCAGGGGGCATGGAGCGGCTCACAGGCAGTGGGTGTATAAAGCCAGGGCCACCACTGATTCCTAAGGTGCCTTTGCTCAATTTAGGGAAAGTGTCTTTCCCCCTTGGTGGACATAGCCCTGCACCAGGGCGCATAGCTGGGGAATGCAACAAGGCTGGCTTTTTTTTTTTTTTTT